GTCTTATTCGCAGAAAAAAAGTTGAAATTTGTAGACCAGTGTAATTATTAAATAATTTGAATTACACACTAGTGACAATTATTTCCGTAAAAATAAAATCTTATTACATACATATTTACAGACCAAGACCTTAAATTTGACACCTCAAATCGAACAGATTATACAAAATTAATTTAGCACTCAAAAAATCAACTCTTCAATTAAAATTCTCCATTGCACAGACAGCAAATAAGAAAGCGCGCCAATGCCTAACGGCTTCCATCGCGCGCAGCTATTCATTCCAACATAACTGCACTAACCCACATTTAATTTGTATCGTCTCATTGTTAGTGAGCAGTGTATTGCAAATGTGCTAAACTAAAAAAATTTTTAATTTAAAATACATAAATAGTTTTTCGCTTTTTTTTCCAAAATGATGGAAGATTGTCAAACGCCCACGCTGGCCGAAGTGATGGAGTTCAAGTACGAGGTCACACCCACCATGGTTTTCGATTCGAGTTGCCTACAGGAGGCACACAATCTAATTGTGAATCGCATCAGCGTTCGTTGCTTTACGCCGACAATACAAAATTTCCAATCGCCTGGCCTGTCACCAATCACCGAATGCACGCAGACGCTGGTTGGCGGTGTCGCTGTGGAAGGCACACCGATATCCATGCCGATGATGTCCAATGCTAACAACGAAATCTTCAAAGCACCCAAGAACCCCAAAGGTACACATCAAAAATCGGCGCTGCCGCTGCAACAACAACAACAGCAGCAGCAGCAACAACAACCATGCCAGAAGAACTTCTCCAGTTCACATTTTGTAAGCGACTCACCGCCAATCTTCACTTTAAATTCTACCACAATTTCGGATACAGATTTCAGCACTGAAATCGCAAGTCCCGATAGCGCAGCAATACTTGGGAGCTATGGCAACAACAACAATAACAACAACAGTGGCAGTAACAGCAATAATAGCAGCAGTGATTCGGATAAATTGAATAGCAGCAACAATGCTACATTCACGAACAACAACAACAACGGCACTAATGCTTCAAAAAATCTTAGCAACACGAATTTGCTCGATCGCACCATGAACGTGTCGACTCTGTTGCGCAGCGTCGGCCTGGAGCAGTACGTGGAGGCGTTTGAGGAGCAAAATTTGGATTTGGAGCAGTTCTTGAATATACGCACTGAGGACTTTCAGCGCTTGGGCGTGACCAAAGCGAAGCATCAGCAAAAACTTTTAGATTTGCTAAGCGAATTAAATGGCGCAGAAATTTAGTTTTCGTTTTGTCTTTGTTTGTTGTTTTTATTCAAATGTGTATTTTTTAAAGATTAAATTGATTTAAACTGATATTTTTTTAAGTCCGTTTTTCTTGGTGTTTATATTTGCGGAGTTCTTTATATAAAATATATTAGAGTGCCCCACATATAAAGGTCGGGGGTTTCTAACCGGCAGTATGAAGTTTATTAGATTTCAAGATTTACAACAGTAGGTCTTAAAATATAATAGATTTTAAATTATACAAAGCACTCAATATACTCAAGAAACTGTGGGCCAAATATAGTAAAACTTCGTTTTAGGTTTTTCTCTCTGACGCCAGGATTTTTGTCAAGGACTTTGTAGCCTCAAAAATATAATTTATTCCAAAAAATATTTAATAAATGTTGAATAACAATATGGGTACCAAGTGAAAGAGAAAATTCTGTAGAATTTAAAAAATTTGAATTTTTGGATCACAAGGCCGACTAGGTATTAAAAATGCCTTTATAATTAATTTTTCTTTTTTAAGCTAATAAAGTAAGAAGGACGACTCGAATTCTAGGATGCAATCGAGTGTATATTAGTCCTTAACATATAATTTTTTCAAAAATAATGATTCCAAAATTTCCAGGATATTCAAGAATAAAATTTTTATAAGACATTTGGAATACCTAATCAGCCTTATACATTAAGAAATTAAGAAATTTACGACATACAACAATACGACACTTACAATACCGTTGTGAATCCCTCATATATTTAATACTTATTCAGCTCCGCCCGAACTTAGACTTTTTTACTTGTTGTGTATAAAATGTACTGTCGCACGGTTTTATGATGGCAAAATAGTACCGATTTTTTTTTTTTTTTGTATTAAAAGGTTTTATTTCTAAACTATATGTAGGAGGGCTGCCACCTGTTCAAAAACTCAACTCAATTTATCAGTTAATTGAAATATGTAAGCCTTAAAAAAACATTTTTCCCCGAAATTTTTTTCAAGATTTGAATTTAAATTTACATCTAAGCTTTTTTCGCTCGGATTATTTTGCATACGAAAACTGTGTCATTTTGTTTGAGAATGGGTTGGTTCGCCAAATGTGGTAAAATCTGAAAATCCACATTGCAAATTGAAATATTTTCCTATTGCATCTCCAATTGGCTTCCAACCTTAAGTTTCATTGGGTGAATTCACCACAAACTTGAACAATCGCACAGGTGTCATTTACACTGATTTCAGCAAGGCATTTGATAAAGTATCGCATTCAATTCTCATATATGTACATACTTGATCAAATTGATTTCCGTATAATCTTGCTGCTTAATTAATGGGCAGGAAACAAATCATATAATATAAAATTCTTTACTTAACAATAATTTATTTGACTTTTATTTATTAACCAACTTTGTAATTGCTGCTAGTACATATTAAACATTTAAAAGTAAGATTACACAGGACGGATTTATTATTAGAGAATAAAAGCTCAAAATACATTTTTTGAATTACTGCTGCTAAATTAAGATATATATTTTTTAGGCATTCAAGTCTTTAATTATGGATAAAATATTTATTACATATTGGGTATAATTGGATGGAATACATTCGCCAGTTGATAAAGCTTAAGTACTAAAAATATTATGTATAATGAAATCTAATTTTGTTCAATTGTACTATTAACGAGTTTATATAGCATAAGTAATAGTTGTATAGTAGGGTGATCCTTAAAATAGCAACAGCATGGGGCACCTCACCAAAATAAAAAAAGTACGGTCGCGTAACAGCGTTTGAAAAAATTTTAAATTTTTAAATGCAAAAATTATACGAAATTTTTAATTTAACCAACAATAAATAACTCAGCAAGTCCATGAAATTATGTGAGTAAATTTTAGTAACTTGTCAAATGCATATATCACATTTAAAGTAACAAATTTTTTGAAATTTTTACGATTTAAAGAAAACACAAGGGTTTCAAAAACTAAAAATTTTAAAGAAAATTTTTAATTTTTCGGGAATATCTTTATTTTGTACGTAGAACAAAGAAAAAGAGATGCCCCATACAAAATTTAAATGTTGATATTTTAAGGACCATCCTAATCTGTACCTATTGTACATACTACTTTTTTTAAATTTTTAAATTTTTAATTTTTAAGTAGTAGCTAAAATATGAACGTATGTAAATTTATGTATATTGATACTTAACAAACTAATAAACCTTACACAGAATGGGGCTTAGCGCAGAGTAGCTGCTTTTACATTGTACATTTTTGCAGCCTAAAAGTATACAACGGATTTTTGAAATTAGAAACAAATTTTTAAAACATTTTTTTGCATTTTCAATCAATTTCAAGGTATTAAGTGATTCCTTTCCATTTTGAAAAATCATTTATACACTTCTCATACGAACCCCTTAAATTTAAGTACATTTGGACTTACATATACGTTTTCTACAAATAAAAATAATTACATATTCAGCACGCCTAATAACAATGCCAAGAGTTACTAAAGTACATATACATTGATATATACACCCCGTGTCATAATTATAAACGCACTACAATTGGACAAGTTTTACGAATTTTTTTTTTGTTATTTTATTTTATTTTTTTTAACAAAATATATTTTATTCTTTAACAAAACCGTATATATCCAAGTTACAAACTTTGTGTAATATGTAAGCAAAATCAACACCCTTTGGTAAAATTTCAAGCTTTTAAATTAGAAAGGTTTTGAGTAATTCGATTTCTTAGAAAGATTTTGGGTACGCAACTTTGTAGCTAAATAAATTTTAGTACAATAAAGTAGATTTTTGCAGTAGATAGGACTTATCATTGAATTTTTTTTTTATTGAAGGCATTGCTGGTTTTTTTTCATACAAAATTATCGTTGAACATGCTTCGTATGGAGGAAAATTACTGACATCATCACCAATAAAAAATTTCGAAAATCAACGATAAGTGCCAACTATTTTTGACTTGCACTTTATTAACTAAAATTGAATGAGCTACAAAATTGCATGCTCCGAATCGAATGAAAAAGCTTGAACTTTTACCAATGTTTCAAACATTTTGTTGAACAGTTTTTGTTAAAGAATAACCTATGTTTTTATATAAAGAGCATAAAAATTATATAACAAAAAAACAAATTATTAAAACTTGTAATTTTGTGGTGCGCTTATAATTATGACACGGGGTGTATATTTTTACATTCACTTACAAATTCGAAAATAATACTTTCTTTTTGCTTCAGTTGCAATTTACATATATCGCAAATTTTAACAGGCAATCAACGTAAATTATGAAAAATCCAAAATTCAATGCCTTGAAATTTATAGAATTTTTTAAAGAACTAAAAACTAAATGAAATTGAACGGTAAATGGAACAAGAAACAAATATTTCGTTCATACTTTTTACAAGCAAACATTTAAAGAGTTGTGTGGATGCATAACTTTAGGCGTCGCAGGCAAAAGGCGCCAAATTTTGTTACAAAAATTCCGAATTTGCGGTTTTTTGTGCGATTGCGCATATTTCGTACAAGTGTATGTATGTATGTATTTTGTGTATGAATTTTTACATGCGTGTCCAACAGCAAATAGAATGCATTCTGCAGTGACGCCTCATCGAGTAGTTTCGCTGATGGGTGTACGTGTCTGTGTTGAAGTGTTTTTGTGCGTGTGTGTGTGTAAGCGCTTTAAATTGCTAATCAGTTTAGTGATGTGCTTTCTATTATTTTTGTCCTCTTCTACATCATTTTTTTCACACCTTCCCAACGCCTTTCACTATTCAATCATATTAAATAGCAGACATGAGAATATCATGCCAAATATCTGTAAATAAAAATCAAAAAAAAAGGATCAGCTAAATTGCTTCAATTAAATAATACCCACACTACTTACCATTAATATGGCCACCGCTATTGCTGTGCCACCAATTAACGCCGCATGATCGCGTATGAAGTTTGTCGTTACATATAAACAACCCTGACTATAGAGATTGGTTATGGTTGGAAAGATGCTACAGTCTTTGCGTTGTCCACCAAACAATTCCTGGCAACACGACTCTGGTACGGGTCCATAACGATTCCAATCGTGCCAAGTATCCACGCCGCAGCATTGCAAGCGCTCTTGCGTCTGATCCCAAGCCATGGTGACATCGCGACGGCTTCCATAGAGTCCCATGGTGGCGCGCATTTCCTGAGGTAGAAATTTTAATTAATATGAGGTAAAAAAAAAAAATGAATTCATTCAGGGATACTTACCTGTCGCATCGTCTGCTGTACGCGTTCTCTGAAGACATAACCCAGTATGCCTCCGATTAGCATCGTTACAAACACCAGCGCAACGATTATGAAATACTGTAATTTAAAGGAAAGAAAAGTCAGGTTATTTTAGTGTTTGGATAACAGAATAAAAGATGTTTATAGTACAGGCATGTTTCGATTTTGCAATTCGAAAATGGTTTCTTCATTCGGTCTCGCTGTAAAGTTATACTTAATATCGTGTGATGAGGTAAGAGCTAAATGTCTCTTTCGAAGCTACATCATCAATGAACATGCAAACCGTACAAAATTTATAAAATTTCCGTGCTCATAACCCCCGCCTTCCAGTATGGTCTATCACTACTTATTCTGACAGCCAAGCTGTTATTAAATCTCTAAAATCTAACTGACCAACGTCCATATTAAACAAAGAACGCAGATGGATTCTCAACCTGCTGTCATCAAAATGCTCTTTGGCTATTGTATGGTTCACTGAACACAGAGACATTCTTGACAACTGCATAGCCGACAAGCTGGCAAGAACAGGGATGGAAATATCCGATATCCACTCGGCTCCACCGCTCTTCTCTTAGATAAGCAGCCAGGGTAATCACCGGACACTGCCTAATGGGCACGCATTGAAAAAAGTTGGGATAGCCAACCAATGATTTATGCCGCAGCTGTAGGGACGAGAAAGAGGTGGAGAGCATCGAATTTTATCTCTGCCACTGTCCCGCCGTAGCCAAAAAGCGGACCAATTATTCAACAAGTACTTTTTAGATTGCTAAACCGGCCTGTGACGGAGTGGTTAGAGGTCCACACTACCACTCCGTAGGACCTGGGTTCGATCCCTGGATTCATAAAAAAAAGCATTTGTGCCTACAAAACTCCATTCGCGGGAAGCAATTATATGTTGCTTCCATCTGAAGAAAAGTGCAGCAGGAAGTCATCGGCTGCTGTGGGAAGCTTACGGAGAGCCAGCTCCATCAAGTAAAACATGTGAGTACTGGTTTTGAGATTTCAAAAATGCTGATTTTCACACAAACAACAAGGAGCGCGCAGGAAGGCCATCAACGTTTGTATACGCCTTATATTTAGCTGAGAACTTACATCATCAGATTACCATTTGTTCTGGTCGAGATTACCATTTGTTCTGCTCGATTGGTCTCCAAAAACGAGCAGTTTTATTAGCGCGGAAGCCATGGATTGGCAGGAAAGTGGGAAAAGTTCATAGCTATCGATACCAATTTTGCACAATAAAGTTTAATGCGCACTGCCACATTGTATACTCCAGGGTCGATTCCTAGTTCGACCATCCAAAGTTTTTTTTTTTTTTAATACCGGTCGGCAGGCTTGCTTTTCTCTGAATGTATTTTTGCCGTGAAAACTTCTCACAGAAAACCATCTGTCGTTCGATTCCTCCATGTGAGTTACGACGGAGAAGCACGACCAATCACTGTATGTAAAATGTGTGAAGCGGCAAATGGTCATCCATCGGCAGGCAATGGCGTAAAATTTTACCACGAAAAAGATTCTTCTTATTTGGCGCTGTAACCATCTAACCGCTTTTGGCCGAGCTCAATAAAGCAAGCCTGTCTTTATTCTACTGTGCCAACTGACGCCAATTAGAAATGCCAAGGGAAGCCAA